CGCCATTCAGTGCGCAAAACGTGGAGACCGAAGCCAGGAATATGTTGAAATGCCCGAACTTCGAGTGGTCTCGATTTAACGAACCCCTTCAAGCTAATCCTACCCTCGTCGGATGTCGTTACCACTGGATTTTCAAAACTTCCCCGATTTTCCATGACTCCCCTCGCATAGTTCCGCCCCTCCCTCGGGAAGGAAAACTTCGAAGGAAGTTTTCAAGCGACGACATGGAGCCTTCTACCGCGAATTCCTCGTTACACCATGATGATAAGTAGTCTCGGTATTTGCGCTAAGGTGAAGTGAGACACGTCGAGGAACTTGATCGACGTCAGTAAAGATGATTTTTCTAAATACCCATATCCACGACGTGGAGCCTTTTATCACATATTCCTCGTTACAACACGATGATAAGTAGTCTTGGAATTTGCGTTAAGGTGATGTGAAACACGTCGAGGAACTTGATCGACGTCGGGAAAGAAGATTTTTCTAAATACCCATGTTGCAGACGTTCATTTTTATATTGACAGCTGTGTCGAATTATATTGGATATTGCACTAAATGACGTACTCCACCTGGCGTTTTCGTACAATAATTGTAAAGAAATCGAAGTAAAACTCCAAAAATCCTCTGGATTCATGGTTTCCAAGGCCCTAATTTACTGCAGAGGGACCCCCTGTGCCATCTATGATTTCCGTGACAACTAAATTTTCACTCCGAGACCTCGTATTTCCATCGTTTTAGCATAGCAGCGCATGAGACACTTTTTTGCCTTTATCCCGTTCAAATGCGAGTTTATCGATTACCAGAGTATTCAAAATTGTCGTCAAATTGTCCTGACCCTTTCGTTTCTCATATGAGAGCCTTCAATAATTGTATATTGATCGAAATATGAGAGCTCAACGCCATTTTGATTCTGATCTGGGCTAAGTTCAACAATTTTTGTCAAAAGTCCAAATTTTGAATGTGTCAGGACAATTGTTAGATGATCACAAGTCCTGTGTCAACGTTTAGGACAGTTTGGTCTAATACCCTTAAAAAGAGCGTTTTATTCGAGTCGACTGATTTGAAGGGGATTTCACATCCCCTTAAGAGACTGTTTTAGAAGATTTCGCCAATTACGCGTAATCTTGGAACCGACAAGTGCGCAATACCCGAGTAGAAATTGTTCACCTGGTTTAAGGGGATGTGAAAGCGGCATCCGAAAGCTCAATCGTTCATGAAACTTTTCTCTGAACTGGGTGTACACAATCTTATCAAACTTTAGAACGTGAACATGGAGACTATAAGGAAGATCTTGACACATGAAATTTCAGTTTTTATAAACATTTATGAAGATATCTATAAACAAATTTTTATAAAAATTGAAATTTTACGGGTGGCGGGACCTTCCTTATAGCCTCCATATTCAGATTGTCAAGATTGATACGATTCGGTACACACAGTTTGGAAAAAAGTTTCATCAACGAGACTTCTTTGACGCCACTTTCATATCACCTTATCATCATGGACACGAGAATTTAATATAAGATGTTATCCATGTAGCAATATTAATTGGTATATTAATAATTTGGTAATATTGAACCAATAGATGTTATTAGGTCAACATAACCCCAACATGTTGCCAACATTCGTTGGTACAGGAGTAAGTGGTCTGATCGAAGATTAATCGGGAACTTTCAACAAATCCGTTTTAGTGCTTTCACATTTTCTTTAAGAACATCGACTTAACCCTAGTAGCACAAAATATTTGTCCTATATTTTCTACATATTTAACGAATATCGTACATTTTATAAATATTTACCAGACATTTGAAATATTTGCAAACCGTTTACTTTAGAATATTGTCTCTATAATATTTATATAATATTACGTCCGTGTATTATCATAATATTTTTCTACCAGATATACAAAACATTTCGTTTCATTTTAATACAAGTATTTTATAAATATTATCTGCCGAATACATTATAAACGTTTTAAAAATATTTGAAATCAAAATCACACATTTTCCTCCCATAATGAAGTAGCGAAACGAAAGTATTACAATAATTTCTCGTGTTTTTTGATATCAAATGAAGTGTCCGATAATAGTCGTAAATTAAAAAATGTATTTTTATTATGTTAATAAGTTAAAAAATATAATTTCTCTATATGCTTATAAATTATTGAAACTAAATATGTCATTGAGATTTTCAACAAATATTTCAAATATCTTCGAATGAAATCTACAAGTAATCTTAAAGAAATCTGTCGCTTGAGATATTTAGCAAAAGTTGCAAAGAAATATTTAGAAATTATTCTATGCTACTAGGGAGCCCTTTGGCTATTAAAGGCATTCGACGTTTGGTCCAATGTTGCCTGCACGCATTGACGAATTTCGTCCTTATGTCGGCAGGATTAAGAATATTCGGTGAAAGTTTCGCAGATATATATATGTGTGATATATATATAAAACATATATAATACATATATATAACGTGATAAGAAGAGATATATCTATATATATCATACATATATATGTATGTATGTATGTGTATATATACATATATATCTTTCTTATCACGTTAAGAAGCACGTCTTGAAACCTTTCTATGGGTTCCGGCTAAGTCTCGGTAAAAATGTTGATTTTCCATGATGCATCGCTTTAGCGTTTCCGAATCGTTGTCCAAACATTGTTTCTTAAATAAAAATCCCTTATTCATAACCCCGCACGTCATTTGCAATTCTTGAACTGCGGTGAAAATGTATAAGATAGTATAAATTCCCTGTTCACTGTTAAAAAGCCAAATTAAAGTTGGTCATGGTCAAATCCGTCAGAGATGCCCACACTGATAAAAATGCCCCTGTAAATTTACATACTCTATCATTGGTTATTTTTATGCCATTTTGATAAATTTCAATAAAATTACAATGTCTCTGTAATATCACATTCGGCATCCTAGTTAAATCATAGAAAATTATAATGTAACATTACATTAAATTCAAGTAAAAATGCACTCATAGGGTAAATACACAATGTTTGGGATGTTTATACATTTTCTAATTTGTAATTCTTCCGTTTTACGTTTTTCTATGTGAAACTTAAGGTATGAAGTGTGTAAAAAATGCGTGTAAATTTCCAGGGATTTTTATCAGTGCAGCCTTTCGACTTGTCTGGGCCGCGTTAATTAACAGAAATCNTATATATTATAGTTAATGTATGGAAGTAGCAAAATCCCCTTTTTGGTTTTACGTGTCACGTCCCGGAAACGTACTGCAAGAAGTCTTATTTACAATGTTCCATTGTCGCCTACGCAATCCTTACTCGAGTTCCACGCAATTGAATCATAAAATGTCACTAAAACATTTATAATAATAATAAACATCTAATGGCCGGTTCCACCAACATCGATTAAATCACTGATTATCTAGCCGCTTGGTAAAGTAAATCCCCAACTTATTGTAACCGAGGATTAACTTGATAACCGAGGTTAGTGGAATCGAGTCTAGGATCTTGTATGACGTTAATAGTTGGAGATCATGGTTTGGACACCCCTGCTCTGTGTTGTCATCGAATAATTATAGTGATCACTAATTTTATGACCATTTCAGGGGTTTAAAATCGTGACTTTATACCGTTTAGCCTCTGGTGTCACTTTGATCATGAAATCACCAGCTTCCAAGTCGCATCCTAACATGACAAAAGTCTGATGATCATTTCGATAGTTTATAGATTAGCTTCATATTGTCTAGCCCAGAGTATAGCGTTAATCATGAAATCACCATCTCCCAAGTCACATCCCAACATGACAAGGATCTGATAGCCGATGACTTCCTATCGGTTGTGATACTCCAAGTCGACCTCTATATCAGATGTCATCATGTATTCACGATGACAGCGAAGACGGATGTTGGAGTGTCCAACCCTTTGCCTTCTCTGGGTCATATATAAAATATATATCATAATTGATGTATGGATACAGAAAAATTTCTTTTTTTGCTTTACTTGTCAAGTCTCAGAAGCGTGCCTCCGGAAATAGAGTCAACCTTTCATTGAGCTCTTCCATTCACCGTGCTCCGTTGTCAACTACACGATTCATACCCAAGCACCACGCAATTGAGTCATGAAGTATGCCATTAAAAATCACATAATAGCAATAAAAGCCTAACATCTTGAGGAGCCGCAGTATTAGTGGCTGGGGATCGTGGGTTGGACACCCCTACTCCACGTAGTTACCAATCAATTATAGTGACTACTAATTTGATGATCATTTCGGTAGTTTATAGATTAGCTTCATATTGTCTAGCCCGGGGTATAGCGTTAATCATGAAAACACCAGCTCCCACGACACATCCTAACATGACAAGGATCTGATAGCCGGTGGTTTGCTTTGGGTCGCGGTCTTCCAAATCGATCTCTTCATCAGGTGTCAGCACGTATTGAGGATGAATGATCAGATCCCCACAAAGACAACGACAACGGATGATCGTGATTAAAGCCTTTGCGATGGCGTAGTCGATCCGACAAGGGCCTTGTCAAGGATGATTAATAAGATCTCCAGCAGAGACAGGGATGATGGTCGTAGTGATGGTGCCCATCAGGTCGCCGATAATCTCAAGAGCAATTGGCTCTGGGGGGACTTTAGTGCACCTTTGGTACCTCCGAGCACCACATTCGGAAGAAAGTGAGCCGGAGACAGGCTTTCAGGTGGTGGTCTCGAACTCTTCACCCCTTAAGCATCGATTGAGGGTTCTCACGCTAAGTTGCACTTATCTTGTTTAGAGCCCAGATTCCGTGGCTACGAACAGAGAATCTCCGGACTTTGAAAAGCTATTGTTCCTAAGAAAGGGATTTGCCGACACGTCGGACCAGGAATTTAGACTTCAGAAACGTTGGGTACGCGTGGAACGTCCTTACACCGCGTCCTTGCACTGATTCGAGAATCGGTCAAAACTGACGTTGGAACGCACGACGAGAGTACTTTTGATTATTACGATATCTGCATTAGGGCGACGGGAGGCTCTAGATTTTAGATACGTGAACGTAGAGCCGCGTGTGCGTGTCGGCATGATTGGCGATGTTGGAGTTGCCGTTCTGTTTGTAGCGATGCGGGGGATTGGCCTGGATCAACTCCCTGGTCTCGCTAGGGGAGCCGGGGCTGAGACTGGTGGTGGTGGAGGTCTCCATGCGATCGCTGATGATCTCCTCCTCGGTGATCTGTTCGAGATAAAGTGCCGTCTGAGCAGCCTGGGTCTCCGCGGACGTGGCGTCCGGGGGCGAGTAAGCCGGAGGTGGGCTCCTAGGGGGCGATCCCGAGCTCTTCTCCTCCGGGCTGCCGATGGACGTCGCCGAGGTCGTCATCATCATCTGCCTGACCTGCTTGGCGTGTCTAGTGGAGAACATCCCGGTCTCCGGGTCGCGCTCCATTCTGTGGCCCGACCTCGACCTGGTCAGCTGTCTCCTAACGTACTCCTCCAAGTCGCTCTCTTCCTTCCGAGCGATCACCTTGTTCAGGACGATCAGGAAGATGCCCACCAGGATGGCGAAAAGCCCCGTGGCTACCAGCTCGTTCCACCAGCCCCCCGAGGCCTTGGTTCCCCAGGAAGCTAGGTCCCCTGGCAGCAGGCCGCTGGCCAAGAGGAAGACCCCCAAGACCAGGAACACCACCCCGATGTGCAGCATCCCCACCGAGGTTACGACCTTCGAGTCCAGCATCCCGTGCCCTGCCGACCGGTTCGGGTGCGCCCCGTGGGGGTGCCGGTGATGGTTGTCCAAGGAACCCGTTGATGCCCTCGGCGAAGTTAGACCGCTCTCCCCGGATTGCGTACTGAACCGACGCTCTCGAGCGCGACGCTGCTCATCCCTGCGCTTCCGCTGGCGCTTGATCGCCAACGCCGAGTGCAAGCCCACCGCGTGCATCCTGCAACACCGGAAAGACACCCTTCAGTTTCCTTCAATTTCCCTAGCAAACTCCCTAGCTCCTGCCCCGACCCGTTTCCCGGAACCACCTACTTTGGGCGCTGAGCCCCTTGGATCTCTAACTCCCTCTTCTAATCCCCAACTAGTCGCCCTATCGTGCCCATATGACGCCACCGCGTCGAGGAACGATCCATCATCCAGCCTTTTCATCTATCACGGAGAAATTACCGGTTGGCACGCATTAGCGACTACACGCATACCTCGCGTAACAATAACCGCAGGAATGACGGTAAGAATTCACCAACAAAATTGCAGAAAATTTAACGTGGCATCCTGTGTTCGGCAATTTGGTTGGCCAGCTCTTATCGTTACTCTTACGGTTACCCTTATGCGAGATATTTGTATCGGTCTTCGCACATACCTCGCGTAACAATAACCGCTGACATAACCGTAAGGATTGACCAAGAAAATTGCAGAAATTTTAACATGGCTTCCTGTGTTCGGCAATTTCATTGACCAGTTCTTGCTGTCATGCTTACAGGTACTGTTATGCAAAGTATCCATAAAAGCTTTACTACTCGTTTCCTCGTTGATCAATCGGCGCGCCGATGCCGTCTATTCTTTGCGACGTTATCAGACACCGATTGGTCGTCGCAAAGCCTAAGAAAGCGATACCAACCGAAGCTCCTTGCTACTGTTAGGTTGAGAAATAAGTTTTCGCCGTTTCTAACGTAATGTAACGTAATTAACTTATTCCTCAACCTAACACATTAGAATGGAGACAGTTCCTTGGTACACAGCGGAACAGGGCTGAAGACTTCGTCTGGCGATATGGCGAAACGATTGCTCCTTATTGTTTATCCGACGGAATCGGGGAACAGGGCAATAGACGAATTACCTCCCTCGGTCCTGTCAGATCAGCTGATTGATCTTTACCGAAGGCAAATTGGCACTTAGCAATCGTTCGGCCTTCTCACCCGGAAAAGTCTTCAGGGGATCGATTCTCGAATTCACGCGGATTCTTTCGCATACGAACAGATTCGCATGAAACATTTGGCATTCTTGGGAAGTCGCGCCATTGTTCATCATTTGAAGGTCTTATATGAAGCTATCAAATTCGAATGCGAAAGTTGATCATATGAACTACAGAATCGATCCCAGAGGCATGATTATCGCGGTCATATGATCAACTTTCGCATTCGAATTTGATAGCTTCGTATAACTTTCAAATGATGAACAATGACGCGACTAAACGACAATGCAAAATTTCGTGACCCTGGAACCCGATTCTCGAATTCACGCGGATTTTTTCGCATTCGAATAGATTCGCATGAAATATTTGGCATTGTTTCGAAATCGCGTAATTGTTCATCATTCGAAAGAGTTATACGAAGCTATCAAGTTCGAATGCGAAAATTGATCGTATGAATTCGATACTCAGGTCCCAGAGACCCAATTCTCAAGTTCATGCGATGTTTTCGCATATGAATAGATTTTCGTATGTAAAATTTTGCATTGTTGCGAAATCGCATAATTGTTCATCATTAGAAAGACTTATACAAAGCTATCAAGTTCGAATGCGAAAGTTGATCGTATGAATGCGATTTCTTCGTATATGAATAGATTTTCGTATGTAAAATTTTGCATTGTTGCGAAATCGCGTAATTGTTCATCATTAGAAAGACTTATACGAAGCTATCAAGTCCGAAAACAAAAGTTGATCTTATGAACTCGATAATCAGATCCCAGGGACCCAATTCTCGAGTTCATGCGATTTTTTCGCATATGAATAGATTTTCATATGAAAAATTTTTCATTGTTGCGAAATCGCGGAATTGTTCATCAATCGAAAGACTTATACGAAGCTATCAAGTTCGAATGCGAAAGTTGATCATATGAACTCGAGAATCGGGTCCCAGCTTTTAGCCTTGCTAGATCGAGGCGTAGCAATTCCATCCAAGAACGTAATTTTGCAATAGGCCATTGGCAATATTCTCGAAAATTGCGATCAATACCCGCGATGCTCTGTCAATTGCAACACTGTTGCTAATGGACCAGTGCTAGATTGCGTTCCAAGAGCGTTTAAGGTGGCTATTCACGTAACGATAAATTATAGTAATAGATCTGTTCAAACCGACCTGCACAGATGTAACTAATATGTGGATGACGTATAGACGCTGTAGAAGTCGATTTAAGGGGATTACTAGGTTATGAAATGCGTTTTAATCAAAGTGAGTTGAATATTAATGAAATGGCCCAGGAAATATTTATTTTCGGGACTGTTGATTTTTTACAGAGAATTTCTGATGAGAAAATTTTTCAAAATGGCGGGCTCGTCAAGCCTGGGATTTCTTACATGTTTTTACGGTCTATATGATTTCAGGAGAACGTCAAGTGTGAAGAAAAAAAGTTTATGCGGTTTTAAAAACTAGAAAAGATTACTTAAGATCTTGTGGCTCGGTGTGTGTGTGTGTTTTTTTTTGGAAAAGGAACTCCTATTGTAAGACAAACAGAACACTAGAAATAACTTTTTCGGTACTCTTTGCACTTTAATGGTTCATATGTCTTGAACAAAAGGTTTCGCCTTAAATCCGTGCCATTGTTTCATAAATAGTCTTCTCTAATTTCTGACAGCACTTTAATGTTTTGCTTCGCACTTGGCGTTCTCTAGGAAAGATGTACACCGTGAAACGATCAGAAATTTCCGATCTCCACAAGTCCGCCATTTTGAAATATTAAAAAATTTCTTTCTTCTTAGATTTTTCGCAAAACTGTAAATAAAACAGCCACGTGGACAAATATTTCCGTTTTCTTTTAAATTCACTGTAATGAACACGATGTCACAACCTTTTAACCCTTTTAACTTCATAAATTACAAATCGCTACGATTTATCGTTACGTTTCCAGCCATTTTTTTAACATTTTTTTAATCTTGCTCCCAAGCGTGAGATCAAGGAACATTGTTGCTTTGTCAAGTGCTCACAACGTTTCGGAGGAATTGTTGCAAATCTCTGGAAGGTATTTACAACATTCTACTAATTGCAGGTTCGCCGATTTTCCTGCAATTATTTTTTAGTACTGGCAATTATGCGCAACGTTATGCAACGTGACTGTTAGTTTAGACTTCGAACAGCAATTTCCCATGTAATAAACAATATCGATAAACTGTAGTTCATATAGCGGCTGAATTTGGTCAGTAATACCGCATTATTGATATATGAACATTTTAATTTATTAATAATATATCGTAAGATACGAGAACTATATACATCCAATATTGCAACCGTACACTGTTAAAAATATCTAGTCAAGATATAGCATACATGAAATCGATGTTCCCTTGATATGAAATATTTCAAAATTTCGTATATAATTGTGTTCGAGATTTTAGCATCGAAATATACAAATTTCAAAAGACATGTATACTAAATTTCGAAATATTTTGTGTACTAATTTTCAATTAGATTTCTGTGAGAATTCATAACAATTGTGTGCGAAAATTCATACACAAATGTACGACTGTCATTAGACAGGTATACAAAAACTCTCATATTTTTGTATACCATTTTTCAACCGCATAAGCGTATACAATTGCATGCATTGTAAAAAAGTGCATTGTCGTACATTGTTTCACATTTATCCTACTTTCGTTTCTGATATCACTGTTTTGTTTAAGATGTGGTTATTGTACGTGATTTGATAAAAGCGAGTGATATCAGACATAAACAAAATTTCAAAATTTATTGCATAATTTCTAAGACATTATTATAAAATTGGACATTTATTGCAAAATTTGGAAGACATTATTATAAAATTGCACATTTATTGCACAATTTCGAAGACACTTTATAAAATTGCAGATTCATTGTAAAATTTGGAAGACATTATTATAAAATTGCACATTTATTGAAAAATTTAGAAGACATTATAAAATTCCACATATATTGCAAAATTTCGAAGACACTATTATGAAATTGCACATTTATTGCAAAATTTGGAAGACACTATTATAAAATTGCACATTTATTGCAAAATTTCGAAGACATTATTAAAAAATTGCACATTTATTGCAAAATTTGTAGGAATTCTCACATAGTAATGATATTCCTCGAAACATAGTACACACTAGTCCGATTGTCAATTCGCGTACCGTGGCTTGAAATGTCAGTAAACATTTTTAACAGTGTATCCTAAATAACATAGTAAATAGTGCCTAGCCACATTACTCCCCCATTGTCCCAATACATTGATTTTAATATTTACAGAGTCGAGAGATATTACATTGGCTGTATATTGGTTAACAATTGTCGACATTCTACCAAGAGACGTACATTGAGCCAATATTGCCTGAAGCTGTTCCAAAAATTTCACCCTACAGGGGTTTACAGTCACCTAGCTGGAACGTTGCGAAGTTAAGGTCGATTAAGACTATCGGACACGTATCGATTCCGACACGTACCGACACCGTTCCGGCAAAACGGCACCGGAACGTGTCGGAACCGATACGGAGTCGGATAGTCCGCCCCGACCATTGTTGGGGCTGTTCCTGGACAAAGTCTCTCCCTTGTCCTCTAGTACCGAATTATTAACAGGAAACTACATCGAGCAGACTGGTGAGCTTATCACGGTCTCGGGGTTACAGGATGCACTGCGGATGAGATATCTTTACGGACACGTCGCCTTTTGTCTTCGGGCTTCCGTTACGTCTTTTCGCCGTAGCCCTTTTCGCCTCCGCCGTTTCCTCAGTGTTTTCCTTCTTTCCTCATTATCTCGCATACTTCTTCCCTCCACTCCTACCATGGGCTTTATCCATTTGTTCGGACCCTCTTAGGACTGCTCCACTTTCCAGCCTCATCTCCTCCCAACCCCCCAAAAATCTGGAGCGAGACCTGCTTCGAAATAAATCCCCAGACGCCATATTGAGCCCACGTCATCGGGACGCCATCTCCCGTCAACCTACAATCAATATACGTGCAATGATATCGAAAATAATTAACCAG